TCATGCTGCTGCTCAACAACGAACAGATCCCTCAACTCTTCATCACCATCGTCCGATACGTCCTGCCGTCCGAGGACCACACGATCCAGAAGCTCCTACTGCTGTACCTCGAGATCATCGACAAGACGGACTCCGCCGGGAAGATTCTGCCTGAAATGATTCTCATCTGCCAGAACCTGCGCAATAACCTGCAGCACCCTAACGAGTACATCCGCGGAGTGACGCTGCGGTTCCTGTGCCGGCTGCAGGAGACGGAGCTGATCGAGCCGCTCATTCCGTCCATCCTGCTGAATCTGGAGCACCGGCACCCGTTCGTGCGGCGCAACGCCATCCTGGCGGTGATGAGCATCTTCAAGCTGCCCAACGGCGACCACCTGCTGCAGGACTCGGGCGAGATGATCGAGAAGCTCATCGTCAACGAGCAGGACCTGTCGGCCAAGCGCAACGCCTTCCTCATGCTCGAGAACTGCGCTCAGGTGAGCAGCGCAAGACGCGAGCTGCAGGAATGAGTGAACGAATTTTCTTATGCGGATGAGAGGCGGGAATGGTATGTTGATGCCTTATCAGGCTCTATAGCGGTGTTTACTGGTCACGTATGCCGACCATACCCATTGTTCTGCAGAGGCCCTTCCTCGGGCTTCGACTGCCGTCCGTGAGAGGAAGTGCGCTGGCAGCGAAATAAGGCGCCTAGTTGTGGTTGAGCGTACTTGACCTTGTGCGGGATCGCTGTGGTCAGTGGGATCAGGCGATGACCTTGAGTGGCTGATTCATCCCCTTGATCCGCGTTACAGCACAACACATGCTGACCCCCTCCCGCTTCGCGTGCCGCATTCTCCCCATTGTGTCCCATCCATCCGTGCCTCGCCCGCCTGGCAGGATCGCGCCGTGCACTACCTGCTGAGCAACCTGGACAACGTGCCGCTGTGGGGCGACATCCTGCAGATGGTGGTGCTGGAGCTCATCCGCAAGGTGTGCCGCACCAACCCCGCCGAGAAGGCCAAGTACATCAAGATCATCCTCTCGCTCATGGCGTCGCCCTCCTCCGCCGTCGTCTACGAGTGCGCCGGCACGCTCATCGCGCTCTCCTCCGCGCCCACCGCCATCCGCGCGGCCGCCAACTGCTACTGCCAGCTGCTGCTGTCACAGTCGGACAACAACGTGAAGCTGATCGTGCTGGACCGGCTGCAGGAGCTGAAGAGCAAGCACCGCGAGGTGATGGTGGACATGGTCATGGACGTGCTGCGCGCGCTCACCAGCCCAAACCTCGACATCCGCCGCAAGACGCTCGACATCGCGCTGGACCTCATCACGCCGCGGAACATCGACGAGGTGGTGATGACGCTCAAGAAGGAGGTGGTGAAGACGCAGGGCAACGACGTGGAGAAGGGCGGCGAGTACCGCCAGATGCTCGTGCAGGCCATCCACACGTGCGCCGTCAAGTTCCCCGACGTCGCGTCCTCGGTGGTGCACCTACTCATGGACTTCCTCGGCGACCAGGTGGGCCGCGCCATGCGGAAATCAGTCCCTCCCTTTCCCCTCCTGTTCCGCTGCTCCCCTTCTCTCCCACCACGCCTGGTCCCCCCCTTCGCTCTATCCCACTCCTCGTTTTGCCCACCTCCCTCCATGCCCGCCTCTTCCTCTCCCGCCCCGCTCCTCCCCCGTCCTGAGTGCAGAACGTGGCCTCGGCGCTGGACGTGGCGTTCTTCGTGCGCGAGATCATCGAGACCAACCCGCGTCTGCGCGAGTCCATCATCTCGCGCCTGCTCGACACCTTCTACCAGATCCGCTCCTCCCGCGTCGCCTCCTGCGCGCTCTGGATCGTCGGGGAGTTCGCGCAGACACTGCCCGAGGCGCAGCACGCCATGGCGACCATCAAGCAGTCGCTGGGCGACCTGCCCTTCTACACCACCGCCTCTGCTGAGGCCGACGCCGAAGCTGCCGATGCCGCAAAGCCCGTCGCCCCAGGCGTGGCGGCGGTCCCCCCCCCGCCCCCTGTGATCGCGACGTCCAAGCGCCCCGCCGTGCTGGCGGACGGCACATACGCCACGCAGAGCGCGGCGTCTGAAGTGAGTGCCGCTCCTACGGCCGTGGTGGCGGCGGCAGGCGGGGCGGCGGCGAACCTGCGGTCGCTGCTGCTGGCGGGCGACTTCTTCCTGGGGAGCGTGGTGGGCACGGCGCTGACGAAGCTGGTGCTGCGTCTGGAGCAGCTGATGCCCGACAAGGCGGAGGTGAACGCCGTGACGGTGGACGCCATGCTGTACCTCGTCGGCATCCTGCGCCTGGGGCAGTCCTCTGCGCTGCCGCAGCCCATCGACGACGACTCCTACGACCGCATCGCGCTCTGCCTGCGCATCCTGGCGCGCCCCTCCGACGTGATGCGGCGCGTGTGGCTGGCGTACTGCCGGCAGTCGTTTGGCAAGATGATCAGCGAGAAGGTGACGCGCGAGAGTGAGGAGAGCAAGGCCAATGCCGCGCTCGCGGTGGCTCAGCCCGACGACCTCATTGACTTCTACCACCTCAAGAGTCGCAAGGTGGGCAGCGGGGATTGGTCGCTGAGTTGGTGTGGGCGTGGTTGGCCTTGGGTGGTGTTGAGGGTGCGTGTTTGCGTGGTGCTGCTGGAATGATGTGGCTGGCGCCTACCTTTCTTTGCTTTGTTCTCCCTTCCTCCCCCCTTCTCCCTCCCCCGCTCCCTCTTTCTCTCCCTTTCTCACTTCCTCTTTCTATCTTGCTGTCTCTCTTCAGCCCTATCTCTCCCAATCTTCCCCTTCCGTTCATTCCAGTTTGTGCAACCGCCTTTTATACCTCTTTTCCCTCCTTTGCCCCATGTTTCCTGTTCTTGATGTCCCCGCCCTCCCTATTTCTAATTCTCCCTCCCCCAAAACTAGTACCTTTTTTGTCTCTCTACTACCCCCCCCCCCTCCCCCCCCTTGTGGCTGTGCAGGGCATGTCGCAGCTGGAGCTGGAGGACGCAGTGGCCAACGACCTCAAGCGAGCCACGGGCGAGTACGGCCGCGACGAGGCGACAGGTGGCGGGCGCAAGCTGAACCGCGTGCTGCAGCTGACGGGGTTCAGCGACCCGGTGTACGCAGAGGCGTATGTGACGGTGCACCAGTATGACATCGTGCTGGACGTCACCGTAGTCAACCGCACGCGCGAGACGCTGCAGAACCTGTGCCTGGAGCTGGCCACCATGGGCGACCTGAAGCTCGTGGAGCGGCCGCAGAACTACACGCTGGCGCCCGACAGCAGCAAGCTCATCCGCGCCAACATCAAGGTGAGAGGGGCGCAAGGGAAGTGCGCTCTGAGGCCAGGCTTGCACATGAGCCCCTCATCAGGTGAGGTGAAACCGCCCTCCAATCTGTAACCGCTGGGCCTCTTTCACATGAGGCCCGCATCTGGTTTGGCAAGGTCGAGTGGAGGCTTCGACTTTGCATTTGAGCGTTTGGTGTTGGAGCACAGTCCCACACGTAGCTGCACTTCCACACCTGCCGTTCCTTCCTCTATCTCCCTTGCATCTTCCTGGCCCTGTCTGTCACCCCGCTCGCACTCTGTCACCCTGTGTTGCCCCCTTGTGGCAGGTGTCATCAACGGAGACGGGGGTGATCTTTGGCAACATAGTGTACGAGAGCACGAGTGTGCTGGACCGCAACGTGGTCGTGCTCTCTGACATCCACATCGACATCATGGACTACATCTCGCCTGCCTCCTGCGCAGACGTTGCCTTCCGCAACATGTGGGCGGAGTTCGAGTGGGAAAACAAGGTGCGGAGGCGGGTGCATGGAACATTTAGGGGGGGTCTGGAGTGGTTGGGCCGGTTGGGAGGATTTCAAGAGTCTGTGCTGTCGGTGATTCTCTGGGTTATAAACACCGTTTTGTGGTCATTTGTTGGTTGTGACACCTACTCGAGTCAATTGCGCTATCACTCTGAGGTGAGGGGAAGGTGCACTATTTCAAACCTTGCGGCTGTCGATTGCCTGCCTCTACGGCTCGGCACAAAAGCACACATTTGTAGATGTGTATTTCTCTGTGTGTGTTTGTGTGTCTGTGTGTGCGCATGGGTACATGTGCGTGTGTGTGTCTCAACTGCACCAGGTGGCGGTGAACACAAGCATCTCGGACACTAATGAGTTCCTGCAGCATATTGTTGCCTCCACCAACATGAAGTGCCTCACCCCTCCGTACGCCCCTCTTATCAAAGATGCCTGCTCTTACTTCTTGGTTTCCCCACTCCACCTTTTTTCATTGCCACAAGCTTCAGTTCTTCCGGTAGTACGTGCCATTTCTTGTCTGCCTGTGTTCCACAATCATCCCTTGCTTCAAATCTGTGCACCTGCAGATCCCAGCTGGCAGGTGACTGTGGGTTCCTGGCAGCCAACCTGTACGCTAAGAGTGTGTTTGGGGAGGACGCGCTGGTGAATGTGAGTGTGGAGAAGCAGAGTGACGGTAAACTGGCAGGCTACATCCGCATTCGGAGCAAGACGCAGGGCATTGCACTCAGCCTCGGGGACAAGATCACTCTCAAACAAAAAGGCACCTCTTGACACGTGAAGGCATGCTGTGGCAGTGACCACACATTCACATTTCAGTGATACTGTAGGATGACAAGGAAGCACTGCTTATACCGGGAGCTTCTGTTGGTGAATGGTGTTCGGGGAGGACAAGCAGAGTTATTCAGGGAATGTAGGGAACACTTGACCTCTGGGTTTAGAAGAGCAATGATAAGAGTAGTAGCCAAAATATTCACAATTATAATATTGGATAACATGACGTTATGCTTGTGATAGTGTCGATTACCCTGTCTAGTAGAGTGTTTCGTTATCTACGTACTGGGGTAGTCACAGTCCAACCCCAGTTGCATGCCTCCCCACAAGAGCTGGCCAGGCGGGCACAGGTGATTGGGCCACGCGGACAGCCCCTCATCCCACTTCGCTTTCTGGTCAGGCGTGCCCCTGCACAGCACCACGCGGGGGAGTGGCGGAACATCTTCCGCGCATCCTTGCCAATGGCAAAGGGCGCATCCTGCTAGTGCTTGATGCCAGCAGTCTAGGAAGGAGGCCTGTTTAGTAGACGGACGATCTAACGCTCGGAGTTACCGAGGCCCACATCGGAGTTCGAAGCTCTAGAAGAGGTCAGGTGGCCAGCTGCGCTGAAGTAATCATGGCTCAGGCCATGGCGTCGCCAGTCGCAGCGTCCATCTCTACTGCCAGGTACGACCGATCGTCGCTGAATCCTCGGGACTGGGACACTGTCGCAGTCGCGTCTCGAAACACAGTCAAGCTGGAGAAACTGAAGCGTCGCGATTCTTTTCGATTTGATTGGAGCGCGTTCTCAGTGCCGGGTTATGCGCTTCCGCGGCGCTCGTTAGCTAATTTCAACGAAGTTCCCGATTCACGTCGATGGAAATCCTTTTGTCAGCTCCTGCTCCCACGCCATTGCGTCGCGTCTTTCGCACTCATTTTCTGCCTTCCCAATTCACTACGCTGTCGCACGGATACGCTGTCGGCTTTCCTGACGCCCTGGTTGTCCTTGTGTGCGGTGCTGTGTGTGTCAGGCTAGCGCAGCCAGCAGCGTCGCTCTCCGCCTCGCCGTCCTGGCAGCAACCCTTCGTCGGCCTTCAGTCACAATCGTCCTCCGGTGCGCCCCCCGCCGGCCCTATCCTGCGCGTCTCTCCTACCCCCCTCCCCCCACCTATACCCCGCTTGAACCCCTTTCACTTTCGCACAACGTGATGCCTGCATGCGCTTCGGTTCTTGCTCCCTCGGACTGATCGCCGTCGCGACATCCCGCCATGGCCGACTCGATCCGAGGCCGCTAATGCCGCTCACTCCGTGTCGCCCGCGTTGTTGCCTTCCCCCCCACAACCCGTGTCCGCCTGCGCTCCCCGATCCAACTCGCGTCGCTCAGTGGCGTCGTTGCGCGGCGGCGCCCGCTCGCTCTCGGACCGCCTCTTCCACACCGTCGCCGCCGCCACCGCCGCCGCTCGTCCTGCCGGGTGCGCACTGCTGGGAGACTCGCTGACTCTCCGCTCTCGTCTCCTTGCGCTCTCCCCGCATTAACCCCGCGCCCTGAATTGTTGCACCGCTTCCATCCTCACACTTCCTTGCGCTCTGTCGTGGGCTCGCCTTTTTGTTGTCTAGGACTCCTCCGTTCCTTCTCACCCTGGCTTGCCCCGTCTTCCCCCCATCCCAAACCTCCCCGTCCCCCCATGCCCGTGCTCTGGGTGCGCGCGCAGCGCGGGGCGGCGAGCGCGCGTGGTGATGATGCCCATCGGCACGCCCAAGGTGCCGTACCGCACGCCGGGCGAAGGCGGTTGGCAGTGGGTCGACATCTGGAACGTGCTGGTACGCTGGGACGGCCGATGGGGGGATATGTATATAGACGCTCTGCCTGTCACCAGCCCCCACATTCCGCCTCCTCTCCTCCCCCCCCCTCCTCTCTGCTGCTCAGCATTCGTCGCCCCACACTCTCCCCCCGCCTCACACTCTCCCCCCGCCTCTCCCCCCTCACGTTCTCACCATCTCCCTTCCTCGCGTTCTCTCCCACCACTTCTTTCACCCCCCGCGCGCGGGCATGCGCGTGGGTGGCGGCAGTACCGCGAGCGCATCATCTTCATCGGGCAGTTCATGGACGAGGAGTACACCAACCAGGTGCTCGCCACCATGCTCTACCTCGACAGCCTCGACTCCTCCAAGCCCATGCACATGTACATCAACAGCCCCGGGGGCGAGGTCAGTGCCCAACCCCCTGCGCCTGCTCATGCTCACTTCCAGTAGCTCTTCACTGCTGCTCCAGTGGGCTGCTCTTTCTGTTACCGTTTGAATGGACTTGTGCCGGGGCGCTGTTGTCGCATGTGTGTGTGTGTGTCCATGGGTGTGTGCGTGCAGTTGACGCCCACGCTAGCCCTGTACGACACCATCCGCTCCATCAAGTCCCCTGTCGGCACTCTCGCTCTCGGCTATGCCTATAACAACGCCGGTTTCCTCCTCGCCGCTGGCACCAAGGTACTCACACACACTGCCGTGCCCACCCACGCGCCGCATTCGCCTGCTCGCCTGATTTCCCTCACATCACCTGCTCCCCGTTCTCTCCAGTGTTGAATCCGTCCCTCCGTCGCCTGATTTTTTCAAGCTTAACCTCTCTGTCCTGCGCGTGTGTGTGCCCCCTGGTTGCAGGGTCTGCGTGTGGCCATGCCCATGACCCGAGTGGCACTGCAATCGCCTGCGGGGGCGGCGCGTGGCCAGGTGAGTCGCATGCCTGCTCATGCCTCACACCCGCCACAATGCCTCAGAATTGTTGATTGCTCGCAGCTGAAAGGTGCACACCTGTTTACCACCTGTCGCCATGTTTCTGCCCAGCGCTCTTGTTCTGGATGCATGCTCAATGCTGCTATACGTGTCTTTACTTGTGCATGTGCATGTGCTTGTGCGGTCATGTGCGTCGGTGGCAGGCGGATGACATTCAGAACGAGGCGAGGGAGCTGTCCCGGGTTCGCACGTACGTGTTTGGGGAACTCGCTAAGATGTCAGGCCAGCCCGTCGAGAAGGTACAGGCCCCCAGCCCCCCCCCCTCCCTCCCTCCCTCCCTCCCTCCCTCCCTCCCTCCCTTTCTCTCTCACTCCCTCTCCCTTGCTCCCTCTGTCCTTACCTCCCACTCTCTACCTCCCCCCCTCCCTACCCTCCAGACCTCCCCATCTCTTCTTCCTCTGAGTGTGAATTAGATGCAATCACACGCGCACTCACTCCCCCTATGCCTTTCCCCCCTCAGTGCGTCCATCGTCTCTGGCACAATGCTCCTATCCATCACTTGTTTCAGGCATTGGATCCTCGCTCAACCTCTTTTCTGCCTTTTTTTCCGTCGTAATATCTGGTGCTATACTCTGGAAAGTGTCTCTGCTCATTATGCCCTACCCTCCCCCCATCGTGTGTGTGTGTGTGGCGTGCAGGTGACTAAGGACCTGTCACGGATAAAGAGGTTCAGTGCGCAGGAGGCGCTGGACTATGGCCTCATCGACCGCATCGTCAGGCCGCGCCGAGTCAAGGCCGATGCCTCCTCTCGCCAGCCCATTGGCGCCGGCCTAGGCTGATGCCTGCGAGCTCTGCTCTCTGCTCTTCACTCAGCATGATCACTTAGTGTAGCTTGTTTCTTACTATGGCGTGCTTCTACGTACACTCGAGGAAGCCGGGTCACCAATCTTTGTGGGCCTTATGATTTTGTTAGCGCAGCCCCCGAAACACAATGTACTGCAGTCCTCCATTGCTGTTTCAGAAGCATTCGCATGGGTGCTGGTGACGTGGATCATTCCATGTGCTTAGTGTAGTTGCTAGGGTAGGTCACTATATTGTCCAGCCAGTGAGGAATGAAGTACCACCAAACCAATCCCAGATGAGAGACTCAAGCCTACATCAATACTGGTACATGATGAAATCGAGGAGATCGTGTGCATTCACCACCGTCCTGTGGCATCGCTACAGTACTGTATTCCCCAAGCACTCAGCCCTTGGGGTGATCCATTGCGGTTGTGCAGTCGCGTCATTGGCCATGTCGTTTGGCTAAAGCTGGTAAAATTGGTCGGATCCATCCATCGTGGCGAAATATGATGGGTGGGTCTCGAGTTGACGCACATTGCTGACGTCACTGTTATGGCGCTCTGTCAAGTTCGCCAATCCCAAGGGTGGTGCAGACGTAGATCTGCCCAACCCATCTTGGGTGGGAGAGAAGAGAAGGCCATCCAGGAAGTTGGTGGGCCTACTATCTTCCCAAAAACACATATCAAGTTAGGGTAGTGGCAGGCAAGGGTAGAGTTGTTTGTGTAGTGAGGTAATTGTCAAGGCACCAGGGACGCCGTGAATTCGCCTTCCCTTCGCGATCGCTTTCTGCGACCGAACAAGAGAAATCTTGAGCACCATGGCCATGAATCTGGTGTGGACGATAGTGGTTGTTTGCATCGTGGGCAACGTGGCTATTGCTTCAAGGGTTGGTCCCGCTGAAAGCCTGGCCATGGTGACGGACGATGCACTTGGCGTACTTGGTGCAGGTCACCTTGTTTCCGAGTTCAGAGCTTTTGCCAGCAGGTATGTGGCGAGAAACTTGCATTCACTCATTGTGGAACATAGGATTAAGCTCCCTGAATCGTGTTTCAGGTTTTCCAAGGCTTACAAGACACAGCATGAAGCTTTGAAGCGCTTTCACATATTCACTGAAAACTGGAAGCTTATTCATGAGGCTAATTCGGCCAACCTACCATACAAGCTTGAAATTAATGGTGAGCGATGCTCTACTTTTTTAACATAGCTTATGAGGTTTAAACGATCTGACGGAATTCTCGTTTAACTGTCAGAATTCGCTGATATCTCTTGGGAGGAATTCAAGCAACACAAGCTGGGCTCATCTCAGAATTGCTCAGCTACGGAGGGAGGCCATGTGCTGACGTACCAGAAGCTGCCGTCGCGTGTGAGTTTCCTGTTGTGAATTGCATCGTGCGCATGATCTGTCCTCCAAGTCTTGGTTGTTCCCTATTTTAAAATATTGTTCCACCACTGCGCAGATAGATTGGCGGGATGAGGGTGTTGTCAGTCCAATTAAAAATCAAGGTCACTGTGGTTCATGCTGGACCTTCAGGTATGGCCTCTGCAGTCGTTGTTTTGTCCGTTCGTTTCATGAAGTCTAACATATCACTTGCTCTCTCAGTACTACTGGAGCGTTGGAAGCCGCGTATCTTCAGAAGACTGGAACCTTCGTCTCTCTCTCTGAGCAGCAACTGGTTGATTGTGCTGGAGAGTACAATAACCATGGCTGCAACGGTGGCCTGCCGTCACAGGTGATTATTATTTACTTGGAAATTGCGTCTGGGTGATCCTTTGCTGCTTGAAATTCCTGAACTCTCACTTTGGTGCACGGTGCAGGCTTTTGAGTATGTGAAGTACAATGGTGGCATTGACACAGAAGACGCATATCCCTACCTTGGTCATGATGACCAGTGTCATTTTTCTCCAAAGCGAATTGGAGCACGAGTTGCCGATGTTGTGAACATCACAGAGGTAGAATGCTGAACTGTTAAGCCCCCGTGTGTTCAGACAAGGAAGCCATTTACTGTTATCTGATGGTCCCTGCTTGTCAATTGCAGTACGATGAGGCGAGTCTTCAGGATGCTGTGGCTTTTGTTCGACCTGTCAGTATCGCGTTTGAGGTGGTTGATGGTTTCCGGTTCTACAAGAGTGGAGTTTACGTCTCGGACACGTGCAAGTCGGGCCCTGATGTACGCTCCTTCCCATTCTGGTTTTTTTCCAGCATTTGTTCCAACAGGGAATCGTGTTAACACTACGGTGTGTGTCCTGCAGACTGTCAACCATGCTGTTCTGGCTGTTGGGTACGACACCTCTGGAGATGTCCCATATTGGATTGTGAAAAACTCCTGGGGCACCGAGTGGGGAGATGCTGGGTTTTTCAAGATAAAGCTGGGAGAGAACATGTGTGGTAAGTCAACCAACAGTCCTTTATTTTTTTGGTGGGTTGGTATGGGTGTCTGTTTCTCATTCTGTTCTCAACTGTGACTGGGCTACTGTGGCAGGGGTGGCAACTTGTGCATCATACCCTGTTCTTGATTAGTTCATCACATTGGACGTGGGGTTGACTAACGTGTTAATAAGGGGGCTGGAGAAGAGAGGCGTGATCATTGTTTGTTGTGAATCTGTTCAAACATCTGTATCTTTGCCACAAACAAAAGATGAAGTTGTTGTGATATAATTGATACTTCGCATTTCTGTAAGTCGATTATGTGTAGTTAGTGTCGAATTAGACTGTAGAATAAAAGTCCGTAGGATGACGTCAGCAAATAGCGCTCGTCATAGGACAGTCGTTTCAGTCACACGAACAGTCGCATCCCTTCATTATCATCAAGGGCGCATATCGCGATAGTGACGAACAGGTACATTAGCGAATAGGTACTTTTCGTAGAACTATAGATTTCTATTAGGTCTTTTTCATTATTAACTTTAATTACTCACAAGTTCACGTACTCAGGTTATTCAACCTTGACCTTTACATTTTACAAGACTTCCGCTGTCTTACTAGTCTACCATTCCAGCAAAGATCATGGACCAACACTTGAGGATTTGCCAAGCAGGCCCTCAGATTGGTTTTAGGAGGGCTGAAGCCTCAGGGTCGCCCTATCAAACAGTGAAATTAATGAATAGAGAGAGAGAGTACACAAACATATACCTAACTGTTGTACTCTCTAGAAGATGACCATATACAGTCTATACAAGCATGATAACTAAACATGTTTGACACACCCCCTGGACTGCATAGGGGAATGTTCTAGACAAGCAGCTCAGGGTGGCACTACTAGTCCAGCCTCTGAGACAAGGGTCTAAAAGACCAGTCAGAAGGAGTACAGGCAAGGCAAGAACTAGTACAGGGCGGCACTACTAGTCCAACCACTGTAAGAGGACACAAGTCCAGTCTGAGTGTACACACAGATATATAGGACAGTACAGAGTCAAGGCCCGAGTAAGTGAGAGACTACAGGAACCAGACCAAGCTGTACACAGTGCCGCTGATGATCTTTAGGCGCAAGCGCCTTCGTAAAGATATCAGCTGTGTTGGCACCGGAGGCTAAGTGTACTACGCGAGCCTGGCGACGCTGCTGTAGCTCACGCAGGAGGAAGTACCGCAGCTGGATGTGCTTCGCTCTGCCCTCGAGTCGAGGCTCCTGACACAGGAGGATCATGGCCCTGTTGTCAGCGTACAGGACCGGGGCAGAGCTAGGCCGCTCACCTAAGTCAGTGAGCAAGAAGGTCAGCCAGCGGAGCTCCTGTGCCGCCATGGCACCGGCGTAGATCTCGGCCTCACAGCTGGACTGGGCAACAGACGAAGAGCGGGTAGCTCTCCACGAGACAACACCTGAACCAAGGCTAAAGCAGTAGCCCTGGGAAGACCTGAGCGTCTCGGCGTCGTCTGCCCAAGAAGCGTCTGTGTGTCCAGTAAGGACCACTGGCCTGCGTCCGCCTAGCACTAACCCCATGCCCGATGTACTTGCAAGATAACGCAAAACCCTCTTAGCGGCAGACCAGTGCTGAGGTCGGTGCCTGCCTGTGGCCACGAAACGAGCCAGGATGCTGAGAGGGTATGCGAGTTCTGGGCGAGTGCAAGTCATCAGGTACATGAGGCAACCCACTAGCTCAGCGTAAGGACCACTGGGATCTACCGACTCCTCAGGAACTGGAGCGGAGAGTCTGTGGTCCAGAGGAAGAGGGGTGGGCTGTGCGGAGGAGAACTGAAGGCCGAACCTCTGAAGGACCTGGCGCACCAAGTGTGACTGAGTCAGGGTGATGGTGCGCGCGGCTCTGTCCCTGGAGATCTGCAAGCCAAGGTAACGGCGCAGCTCTCCAAGGTCAGTGCAGGTGTGTCTCTTCAGCAGCTCTGCCTTCACGGAGGCCAGTGCGTCCCTGTCAGCAGTGGCAAAGACCAGGTCGTCTACGTAGACGAGGATGTAGAACGGAGTCGAGCCAGCACGAACGAAGAGCGAGGGGTCTGCAGAGGACGGAAAGAACTGCAGGTCAGCAAGGGTAGCACGCAAAGTGTCGTGCCACTCACGAGGCGCCTGGCGCAGGCCGTAGACTGGCCGCCGCAGAAGCCACTGGGTCCCAGGGGGGAAGGTGCCAGTAAAGCCCTGAGGGCGACGCAGGTAGACCTGCTCGTGAAGGCTGCCCTGAAGGAAGGCAGTGGAGAAGTCGAGGGAGTGAAGCCCGTAGTCACGCTGAGCCGCTACGTGTAGCAGCACCCGAAGAGTAGTCATCTTCGGGGTAGGAGCGAAAGTCTGAAAGAAGTCCACCCCCTCGCGCTGACTGAAGCCTCTAGCCACGTAGCGCGCCTTGAACACAGGCGGCTCTCCAGGAGGGCGCTTCACCTTGAAGAGCCAACGGCCATCGACCACGTTCACCCCAGGTGGGGGAACTGCGTCGACGAAGGTGCCGGTGGATCTCCAAGATGCCATCTCCTGCTCCATGGCAGCTATCCACTGAGAGGCCCAGGGTCCCGAAACCGCCTCAGCGTAAGTACGAGGGGTCGGGATGTCGAAAGCGTCTGGGTCACCCTCAGGGACTAGCAGCATGGAACAGAGATGGGGAGCAGCCTCGGACAGGAAAGCAAGCTCAAACTGGCGGTCCTCCAGGACGTCACTGCCGAGGGCAGGAGCACCCCCGACAGACGGAGGACAGGCAGGGTGAGAGACCAGAGCGGTGGCGTAGTCAAGGCGGCGGGTAGAGGCGAAGTCAGCGACCGCAGCGACGAGGGCGTCAAGCCTCGACACGGGAACAGACGGGTCGGTAACGAGAGAGGCAAGGACCCGAGGAACAAGAGGACGAGCGGCACGAAAGAAGTCGGACAGAGGAGGAGACGCAACGACAAGAGAAGACGGAGGAGGAGACGGGAGGAGGGGAGGTCGAGACGCGTGGGAACGGAGCAACATAGGGTGAGAGCGCGGGACAGGTGAGACAGGACGAGCACGAGAGGGGCGGCGAGACCAGACGTGTGAGGGCGGCGTCGGGTCAGGAGACAGAGGAGGGGACACAGGAGGGGAACGAGGGGGAAGACGAGCCGGGGACGAGTCTGGCAGAGGGAACACGGGGCCGTAGACGGGAAGAGGGGGAGACGGCAGGAGAGGAACAGGCGCAGGGTCAGGAGACGGAAGGCCGAGCAGACGGAGGGCGGACACAGGCGGGGACTGCTGCTGCGGCGACACAACACCAACACCAGGGCCACAAGCTGCGCGACGGCGACCTCCCGAACCCTCCACACCTGCACCCCCAGAAGGGACACCCCCAGAGTCCACAAACGGCGGCAGCGACGACGGCGGCGGCGGCGGCGGCGGCTGCAGCGACGGCTGCGACGGCGGCGGCGGCGGAGACGACGGCTGCAACGGCGGCGGCGGTGGAGACGACGGCTGCAGCAGCTGCGGCGACGGCGGCTGCGGAGGCTGTGGAGGAGGAGACACCGGGGGAGGGACAGACGGCGAGGACTGCGCCGGAGGACTACCAGAGTCAGAAGACTCGTCGACCGGGACGACCGACGGGAGGGGGGTGACGTGAGACACACCAGAGGGGGCCGGACGGGGGGGCGGGGGGGGGGAGGGGCAGGGACCACCAGGGAGGGAGGAACCAGGAAAAGGGGGGGAGTAACCGGGAGACCACGGTGGGGAAAGCGGCGGTAGAAGGAGACGGACTCGTCAAAGGTGACGTCGCGAGAGTGAAAGAAGCGGTGAGACGGCGGGTGGTAGAAGTGCCAGTCGGACGCGTCAAGGGGGAAACCGAGGAAGACGCAGGGGAGGGTGCGGGCAGTGAGCTTGTCCGTGCCAGAGGCACGAACGTGAGCAAGGCAGCCCCAGACGCGGAACGCAGACGCGTCACCAGGGGACCCGGTCCACAGAAGGGTCGGCGAAACCTGCGGCCGCTGGGGGTGCGGCCACAGGTTAAGCTGGTGAGCGGCGTAGCGCACGGCGAACGGCCACAGAAAATGGGGTGCACCGGCGTGGATCATGGAGGTGCGAGCCACCTCCATGACCAAACCGATGCGTCGCTCAGCGACCCCATTCTGCTGCGGGGAGTCCGGCAGGGTAAACGTCTGGGTGATGCCCTCCGCACGACAGAAGCGACCAAGGACACCTGAGGCAAACTCGCCACCCCGGTCGGAGTGAAGGCGCAAGGCAGGGAGACCGCGGTGGACACGAGCAGAGACAAGCCAGGGGATGAGAACGTCAGGCACGTCGGCCTTCCGCTCCAGGGGGAAGACGGTGGTGTAGCGCGTGAAGTCGTCGACAAGCACTAGGAAGAAGCGCTCGCGACGCGGCCCATGGACCGGGGCTGGGCCCCAGACGTCCATGTGCAGAGTCTGCAGTGGTGCGGTGGTAGGGGGAAAAGAGGAGGAGTGAGGGGCACGGCGGAGCCGGCCCTCGACACAAGGCGTGCACGGTGGGGCGGGGGAGGAGGGAAACTCGGGGAACGAACCGGGGAGACCAAGGACGAGACCGTGCTGGGACATGTGACGCAGACGTGGGAGTGCAGGGTGACCAAGGCGGTGGTGCCAAAGGAGAGTCGGGTGAGTGAGGGACCGACAGGAGCACGCGGCTGCAACCTGGGTGGACGCAGCTACCGGGGGGGAAGACCCAGCCGGGGACGGCGCGGTGTCAAGTGTGAACAGGCCAGACACCGGGTCCCGGGGGAAAGTGGTAAGGGGGGCACCAGTGGCGGCCTCGGTACAGACAGCATACCGCTCGTGACCAGGGAACGTAGTGGTGACGCCAAGGTCCTGGAGGCAGCCGACACCAACTAGGTTCCTGGAGAACGAGGGGATATGCAGACCTGTGAGAGTGCCCGAAGGAACCGCCGGACAGGGAAGGGAGGTGGAACTGCGGGCAACGACGGGACCACCGGAGGGGTCAGCAAGAGTAACTGCAGCGGGAACAGGCAGCGGCGTCAGCGTCGTGGAGTCGCGGAAGAAACACTGGGAGGCGCCAGAGTCCAAGGTGAAGGAAAGCGCAGCAGTCGCGCGAGGCAGCAGTGAAGCGGTGGAAGCACCAAGGCTAAGCAAAGCAGGAGATCCTACGCCTGACGCAGCAGGGGAGTCTACGCTAGGCACCGCTACACTAGGCAACACGGGGTAATAAGAGGGAAGCACACTAGAGTCATCAGCATACATCACATGCAAGGCCGCTACAATGGCATCCATGTCCAAGTCAAAAATCCTAATGCTACGCCTAAGCAAGCTGTGCCAGTCCAGGAGGTCGGGCGCCGGGCCAAAGCGCTGGCGGAACAGGTCGTCCAGGCGACGAAAACAGCGAGGAGTAGAATGACCGATCTTACCGCAAACGAAGCCGCGGCGAGGACCGGTCTGGATCTGGTACTGACAGGGCCCGCCTCCAGAACCACCACCCGGTGCACCACCACGCGCACGACCACCACCAGCTCCAGGCCACCCAGGTGGGAGAGTACTCGCCTGCCTCGTCTGCGGCGGCTGCTGCGGCTGCTGCGAAGGCTGCGGCTGCGGCGACTGCTGCTGCTGCGGCTGCTGCAACTGTGGAGGCAGCGGGGCAGCTGGACCGGGCAGGGTCCCCACGTCCGCACCGGCACCGGACGACCCGCCTCCACCACTACCCCCACCCGCACCCCCGCCGCCTCCGCCGCTCCCAACCTTGGGGCGGCGGCCCTTCGCCGAGCGGGACTGCACTGCAGCAGCAGTCTCAGCCACAGCGACAGAGCCGTCGGAGAAGGTACACTGAGCGGGGGCACAACCCTGAAAGATAGGGACCGGTACTGTACCGCTCGCCAGGGCTATGGAGCGGTGACGAGTCTCTATGGCAGTCAGGGTGTCAACAAAGTCGGTGAGGGTGAGAGCAGCAGGGTGGATGCTAAGGAACTGGTCGCGGGCAGCGGCAAGGCGGTCAGGTAGGCGGGTGGCAAGGAGGTAGAGGGTAGAGGTCATGGGAGGCTGGTGGACTCTAAGCTGAGCATCAGTGCAGGCAGCGCGCCAGGCCTCATCTATCGAGCGCAGGTGGGCAGCGAGGTCAGAGACAGTGGGGAAAGACGCCAGGTCAGGAAAGAGCAGGGGAAGGATCAGGCGACCCACTGAGGCAGCAGGAGGGGTAGAATAGCGCTTGATGACAGCATCGAGGTAGGCCTGGGCGGTAGGAATGGTTCTAAAGCGAGGGCGCTCAGTGGGGGGGAGGGCATTGCTAATGGCGAGCTGAGCAAGGGCATCGCGGGAAAGCCAGACAGAGCGGGCAAGGGCAGAAGCGGCAGTGGACTCGCGCTCAGCGGGCGTGGGATCAGCGGGCAGCACAGCAGGGGGGTCAGGGCAGGGGAGCATACCGTCTAGGTGTGCAGAAAGCGGGTGGCCGTCCTGCCGCTGGCCAGTGAGGTGGCGGCGAAGGTCAGCCAACCACGCCTCGAACTCCAGAGGCTGACCCTCAACATCAAAACGAAGCTCAGCAGCCATGAGGGGCAGTGGAGGACAGTGCAGTGCGGTGCAGTGCGATGCAGTGCGGTGCAGTGCGGTCCAGTGCGGTGCAGTGCGATGCAGTGCGGTCCAGTGCGGTGCAGTGCGATGCAGTGCGGTGCAGTGCGGTCCAGTGCGGTGCAGTGCGGTCAGTGCGATCCAGTGAGGTGCAATGCGATGCAAGGCGGGGCAGGAAAGTGCAGGAGGGTGCAAAGTGGTGCGGGGAACGGGGGACAGTACCAGGAAGTATGGAGGGCCGGGGCAGGTGCGTCGGGGCCGGGCAGGCACGACAAGGCCGGGCGGCGGCGACGGGGCCGGGCGGCGGCGACGGGGCCGGGCGGCAGCGACAAGGCCGGGCGGCTGCGGCGTGGCCGGGCGGCTGCGACGGGGCCGGGCGGCTGCGACGGGGCCAGGCGGCAGGGACGAGGCCGGGCCGGACACAGCAGGGCCGGGCAGGGGCGACGGGGCCGGGCGGTTGCGACGTGGCCGGGCGGCTGCGACGTGGCCGGGCGGCTGCGACGGGGCCGGGCGGCTGCGACGGGGCCGGGCGGCGGCGACGGGGCCGGGCGGCAGGGACGGGGCCCGGGCAGGCCACAGCAGGGCCGGGCAGGGGCGACGGGGCCGGGCGGGCGAGCAGGGGCCGGGCAGGTGCGACAGGGGCCGGGCGGGCGCCACGCGGCCGATAGGCCGCGACGGGGCCGAGCAGGGGCGACGGGGCCGAGCAGGGGCGACGGGGCCGAGCAGGGGCGACGGGGCCGAGCAGGGGCGACGGGGATGGGTAGGGGCGCGACGGGGCCTGGAGGGGCGTTACCAAGCCCAGGTAGGGGCGCGACGGGGCCTGGGGGGAGCGCAATGGGGCCCAGGAGGGGCGCTACGGGGCCTGGGAGGAGCGCGACTGGGCTAGGGAGGGGCGCGACGGGGCCTGGAAGGAGCGCAATGGGGCCCAGGAGGGGCGCTACGGGGCCTGGGAGGAGCGCGACGGGGCCCTGGAGGGGCGCTACCAGGCCCTGGAAGGGGCGCGACGGGGCCTGGAGGGGCGCTACGAAGCCCTGAAAGGGGCGCGACGGGGCCTGGAGGGGCGCTACGAAGCCCTGGAAGGGGCGCGACGGGGCCTGGGAGGAGCGCAATGGGGCCCAGGAGGGGCGCTACGAGGCCTGGGAGGAGCGCGACGGGGCCCAGAAAGGGGCGCAACGGGGCCCAGGAAGGGGCGCGACGGGGCTAGGGAGGGTCGCGACGGGGCTAGGAGCACGACGGGGCCCAGCTAGGGGGCGAGCGGAAGCGTGAGGGGGGGGGGGGGGGGGGGATCCTACCTACGCGTGATACCATATCAAACAGTGAAATTAATGAATAGAGAGAGAGAGTACACAAACATATACCTAACTGTTGTACTCTCTAGAAGATGACCCTATACAGTCTATACAAGCATGATAACTAAACTTGTTTGACACGCCCTTGCAACAACCCATAGTTTTCAGGGTCGGGGTTTGGAAGTGACACGTTTTTTCAGGCCCAAAAATTTTCAAGGCTGACTGGTCAGGGCTTCAATCTCGAGTACCCTGATATATGTGTGCTTTGCACCTGTTTAGGCCAAAACTTGCATTGCATTGCATTGCATGCAATGAAGTACAGATATCAGGGGGAATTAGCCACAGGTCTGTCTGTCACAACAACAATCTCACAGTAGGTTATATAATATATCCACATACATACACATAGCCCTGATCCTTGGGTTCGGGTCCCATCATCTGGCCACTGCTGCAGTTGCTGTGGCCACACAAGGCAGAGTCTTCCAGGTGATGCTTCTTTCTGCTGCTCCAAGTGATGCTTCTGCTGGTCTAGGTGATGCTTCTCCTGCTCTAGGTGATGTTTCTGCTGCTCACTCATCTTCCCAGTCACCGCCACCACTGCTGCACTCCTCCCCTTCTTCCATTCCCTCATCCTCGTCCTCTTCCATCTCCTCATCCCCCTCCTCCTCCCCCTCCTCTCCCTCCACCTCCTCCACCTCCTCCACCTCCTCCACCTCCTCATCCAGTACCTTTTCCTTCCCCTTCACACTCCTCACGCGGCGGCGGGGTCGGATACGCGTTGAGAACGGCTTCCGCTTTCGCCCCCGAAACGCCTTCACCACCTCCTCCCACTCAGGGTCGTAGTCTAGGAGCGCCATACTCATCAAGTCTTCTAGTGTCGCATTGCCTAAGCTGCCACGGCTCCAGCTCTTGATGATGTTCTGGCGGCTGAAACCCCTCTCGCATTCCACAGTGCTAAGGGGCAGCACCGCCACAGCTACCCATAGGCGCCCCAAGTTCGGATACGCCTGCAGCCAGTCGTCGGTTTTCAGCATCGCAGCAAGCCCTTCATCAAACTTCCGCTCCCCCACAGGTGCATCCTTCAGCACGGAGATCAGGATGGGCAGCTCCTTGGTGGCTGCTCGCTTCTCCACTCCTGCAGAGCATGGGTGGTGGGGGGGAGGACGGTCCAACAATCCATGTGAGGCTCGAATGGATGGGACAAGAGGGCAACCAAGGAACTGGCAGGGTGCATTCTACTTTCAACCGAGGACAAACAGGCACATGCTCACCAGGTAAGACCTCTCTCCGGCCAGCTGCCCGGAAGAGGTCGAAGAGCGACTGCAGCCAATCCATGCACTGGCTGTTGCGCTCCTTCTTCCCTGGGGGCCAGGCATCAGGGGTGAAGAGCCTGCATCCAGTCAGCTTCTCAAGGTCCCCAAGGCGCTCGAGGATGTTACGGGCCGTCGCCTTTGCAAAGCGCATGCAGTCGCTGCAGCAGTCGTCGTGGTCCCCGTCCAGGCTTTCATCGTGCATCTTGAATTTGTGCTCCACCACCTCGCCGCTGGAGTTCCACCCCTTAACCATGACATCGCGGTTTGTGCGGTGCATGCTGATGAATGCAGTGAGGAGTGGGGAGTTGCCGCCCCCAAAGTTGGCGCCGCACTCCACGTAGCGCTGCTTGATGTACACCACTGTCCGCCTGACGAGTCCATAGACTACCGTCAAGTCGACCTGTGGGGCAGACGGGCTCGAGAGAGCTCAGAGGCACACACGATGAGACAACAGAACAGCACGGAGCGTCTACAAACCAACCTGGCGGGCTTGGAAGGCCTTGTTGAGGGTGTTCAATAGTGTGAGAATGTCAGCAAGGAAGTACAGGTAGAAGTGGAATCTGTAGCTTTTGACGATCTTGTATATGGCGTCATCATACTCAAGCAGCAGGACGACCACTGCAGGGAGCACAGCAACAAGCCGGACAACCGCATCACCTCGAGACAACCAGCGTATATTATAAATACCCTGCATCTCGAGGTTGGTTTGCGTGAAGATGTCTTGCAGCTCCTTGAACCGCGCGTGCCAGTTGCCGGAACGGGTTAACAACTCGGCGACAGAGCGGATGACCTTGTCAACGATGGCAAGCTCGGGAACGCTTGTTGCTGCGTCTTTCGCTGCCAATGCCTCTCTGCCACAAGCGGGTGATGGGAGAGTGTATGAGGAGAGACACGTGACTGAACACGAGCACCGGTAATAACGAAGGAGGACGGGGTAGGGCAGCAGGATGCAGGCACCATGCAACATTAACACGGAATAGAGATCAGAAACCGTGCTCAAGCACCCATAGAGATAACAACAGGCGCGTGAATTCAGGCATTTCACAGCATTGCTTACCTGTGGGCTATGCAGTGGGAAGATACCAGGTGAGGTATCTGCATTCGCATACGAGTCACCAACCCGCTGGTGGCGCCCATCATGACGGCAGCGCCGTCCATGCTGATGCCCGAGATCTTCTCTGGAGCCACTCCGATCTTCGACAAGTGATCCTGAATGAGGGCATGAATAGAGGCTGCATCGCATTGGTCTAGCGTCAGCAGTGCTAGGAATTCTGTTACCACATGGCCGTCACGCAAAAACGTGGCAAAGAGGATTAGATGTTTCCCCCTGGTGCGATCGGTCGACTCGTCGCAGGAGAGACCGATAAATGGGCTCGCGTGCACGTGGCGCATCTGTGAGTTGTGCAGCCACGCTGTTGTGCAACGCATCAGTTGAGCGAAACCGTACCTGCCATGTACAAGGTGGGAAGGGGCAGATGCGGTAAACGCACATGGTGAAAGGACGTAGGTTGTCAGTATTCGAAAGAGCATGTTACCGTGTGTGGAGTTAAACAATAGAAAGACATCGGCACAACTGCACCTGAATCAGCACGCAAATGAACTCACGTTGTATAGTACGTCCCGTAACTCTTCTTTGGGAAGCCAGGACATTTCCGCTTCGATAGGAACCGTACCAACTTCACCCATGTCCCAATCGGCGCGTCACACTGGCAGATGAAGTGGAGGACCCACAGGAGCGCAATTATTCTCCCCTTCTCCAGATCTGTAGCTTGTGGGAAGTCGGAGATCTTCTTCTGCTTCACAGCATCCTCCAACGCCTTTCTCTGTGACTTGATGCAGGCCTTGTGTCGTGTGGTGCGAGCGTGCTTCTTCATCGCCTGAGTCTGCACGTCCACGGCGCCCTCCCCATCTCGACCGTACCTGGTTCCGACCACACCATGCTCAGAACAAACACTGCATTTGAGAGAGGGGAGGCCGGTTTTAGTACGACAAAGCTGCAACCATGGAAACCTCTCATGCCAGTCAGCCTTAAAACTTTGCAGTGCTTGAAGATATAACAGATCAGCAGCCTCGCTAAACTCCTCATCTGGGTGAGCAGAATGTTGAATGCGGGACTCCAGTGGTGACGCGGTAGATGGGCTGGCAGTTGGGGTGACAGCCACTGGCGGGGTTGTTGTCGAACGGTTAAACTGTTGTTCCACATGGCCGCTGGACTGTCCCGGAGATGACGACACCACTGGCACAGCACATGTCTGTCAGTGCCTTCTTGACCGCACAGTTGCTCGTGCTGTCGCGAAGGTAACAGCGGCGGGATGGTTGTCGACAACGGTCGGCAACCGGAAGCTGAGTACCGCTTGGCGATACGTCCGTTTTGGCGGGGACGTCGATCCCCCATTCTCGACGTCAGCAGAGTTGGTGGCGGGACCGCCCTCATCGTCCCCCACCCCACCATGTGACGGCAGATTTCGACTGGCATCACGCCTTGAGCCCCGTGGCAGCGACGAACATGCGGCGTCCCGTGATGGACTGCGCGCCGACGGCGACAGGTGAGCGGCGTTGCGCCTTGAGCTGGGCTGGGACGGTGGCTGGTATGCAGCGTCACGCGATGGGCTGCACGGCGATGGGGTCAGGCAAGCGGCACCGCGCCTTGGACTGTGCTGCAACAGCGACGAGGGAGCAGCCTCGCGCCTTGGGCTGCGCTGCGACGGCGAAGATCGAGCAGCGTCGTGGGGCGGGTTGCGCTGCGACGGCGACGACAGGGCTGCACCGCGAAGCGGGCTTCGGTGGTGAGGTGGCGACAGAAGAGCATCTCGATACGGGCTGCTAGGGAGAGGCGGGAGCGGAGATTCGTCGCGAGGCAGGCTTCGCCGCAGCGGCATGTGATCGGCACCTCGCGTCGGGCTACGGTGCAGTGGCTGCGAGGTCACAGGGTCTCGGTAAGGGCTGCGAGGGGCCTCTCGTGTCCGAGCAGCTACTCGTGGCGTACTGCGAGGGGGTGGCAGCAAACTCGGCGCAACTCGCGGCGAGCTGGTCTGCGCCGGCGTTGAACTGCCTGTCATGTTCACTGGGCTACGCAACTGAGGAAATTCTCGAGCAGGATCACGCGCGGGACTGCTAGGCAGTGGCGGGAATGGATCGATCCGCGTGTCATCCGACCGCCACCTGTTCGATATTGCTATGGGACGAACAAGGAGATCCAGTGCCGACTGCAGGCCTGGCTGAGCGCCCGCTTGCCCTAACGTCGCCTTAGGGCTGCGGCGTCTCCACCCCTGCAGCGCCACCCCTCGTCATCGCTCATGACGGGGGTGAGGAACGAGAGGAGGCTAAACTAGAGAGGCCGAGATACGACTCTGAGAAGCTTGTCTAACGTGCTGCAAAACCAGTGTGCGAAGAGCACAAACCAGCCTGCAAAGAAAGGCATGAAACAGGTGGTCCCCCCAGAACCGATATGCCAGTACGCATAACGTCGTGATGCTAAGGCAGATGCATTCTTGGTGCTTCTGCTTGTGAGTGCGGCTTGGTAGAAACAGCAGCAGCTCTTTGACGATTGGTCGAAGTTCAGTAAAATTCGTCAAGGTCCAATCACGGCAGAGACTCATGTTCCAGCACAACTTCATTGCTGCATGTAAATTCGGCTAAGGACCACACACAATGCTCCTCACACGTGCTCTATCGCGACTCCATTTAGACTCGTGATTTTGGTCAAGGACCAATCACACGCCCCTCACATGCACTCCAGCATGCATACTGCGGGCACCGCTCCAACCGCGTTTTCCGGGGTTTGGCGGGGGGGGTGTTCGGTCTCAGGCCGAAAATTCGCTAAGGCTGATTAATCAGGCTACACGTAACTAGAACATACTATAAATCAGGCCTATCAAAATAAGAGCCCCTAAAAATCAGGACAAGGGAAAATCGAAACCTGAAAAAACAGGCCGACCCCTGAAAAACACCCTGATATACAGGCTTTCAG